CTCCGCGTGAATTCTCATCTGTCCAAGGAGAATGCATTCCACAATTATCTAACTTATTTCGCTTTATGGCACTTTCAGGTGGCTTCAGAAACTTCCAAACACTTTCAGACACTCAGTGGTGCAACCCGCACCGATAGATCAAACCGATAGTTGTTGGCTTGCAAGAGTGCAATGACTCATTTCCAGTGTAGTACAACCCGTACCGAAGATTCAAGCAGTTAAATGTTGCCTTTTAAGAGTGTAAAAGCTCTTGCACAAGCTGCACTCGTAACACAAGCTGGGTCTGGGTGTGTTGACTTGTGTCAGAGGAGAACTAACTCGTGATAATATCGCCTGAAAAAAATTACTCTAGACTACGGTTAAATCCAAGATAGTTTGCAAAATGGCTGACCCGAGATGGGGGCTCGACTGTCGTGGACAAATAAATAAATAAATTCGATCGTGCCATAATGTAGCTGCACACTTTGTGTAAGGGGCCGACCATTTAACTTTTGAGGGGGGGGAGGGGTGGGTGACTTCTGGTCATCAAGAAATTTATTTTCTAGCTATCTGCTGTGCAGGATAATTTTTTCCGTTCTAAATGCTATTTTTTTCTGTTACATTTGGGCTGCATGCAATTTTTTCTTCCAAAGAGCGCTCGTAGGAAATTATTTTTCAAAATCACCCACCCCCCCTCAAGAGTTAAATGTTCGGCCCCTAAGCCACACGCATTTTTCGCAGTTACGTCTCTTACGTCATAGATATCCATGGTTACTAGAGATCTAATCTTACTATGTCATGCTATCAGACAAAACACGCGACCACGCCGTTTTCAAAACTATCAAAAACAAAATTTCACACAAAACTGCTAGAAGAAGAGAACGTGATCTGTGATTTATGTGTGTACTCGACATAATCTCCATATAAGCATTCAGAATTTATTGAAACTATCGATAGCGTGGAGCCAAAGGTAAGTGTTTCGAAAATGCAAACGTGAGCTTCCTGAATGCCTCTCCTTAAAACTGTTGTCTGCATCATATGGGGACGAAATCCGCTTGTATACGAGATTACATTTTAGGACACGACTGAACAAACCTTTACCCCAATTGATTTTCTTTCTATTCCGATGATTGCTGATACACTGAAGTCTTACTGAGCTAAATACGCATATTCCATGCGGCTTATAACTTGGTGAAAACGTGGCAACGACGGGTGGGCATCTGAGAAAGAGCTTCATGTCAGCCTTTGGAGTTAAGCGAAGATGATTTTATTCAT